TCAGCAATCCCATTACTGGGTATACACCCAAAGGATTATAAATTGTTCTGTTATAAAGACACGTGCACACATACGTTCATTGCGGCACTGTTCACAACAGAAGAACCAACCCAAATGCCCATCGATGATAGACTGGATGAGGAAAACGTGGCATATATATACCATGGAATAGTATGCAGCTTTGAAAAATGATGAGTTTGTGTTCTTCGTAGGGTCATGGATGAATCTGGAAACCATCATTCTCAGCAAACTGACACAAGAACAGAAAATCAAACACTACATGTTCTCACTCATAGGCAGGTATTGAACAATGAGAACACATGGACAAAGGGAGGGGAGCATCACACACTGGGGTCTGTTGGGGGGGACTAGAGGAGAGACAGCGAGGGGTAGGGAGGTTGGGGACGGATAACATGGGGAGAAATGCCAGATATAGGTGACAGGGGGATGGAGGCAGCAAACCACATTGTCATATATGTAACCTATGCAACAATTCTGCATGATCTGCACATGTACCCCAGAACCTAAAGTACAATTTTAAAAAAACCTAAAAAAATTATACCAAAGAAAATCCTACTCCTTATTAATCTAAATAGAAACTCTAATATGCTCCTTTTAGGAGACAAATTCTCAGTTACATTCAGGGTTCCTGAAGCTAATCTAAATTCATCTACTTTTCTAATGACTTTTCAAGCTCTGGTTTGTTTGTTTTTTCTATAGTATCCAGAACCACCAGATGATGACTTTTTTGAAATATTAACCTGGCTATACACTACAGTGCCCAGTTACTCCATCAAATATTAGTCTACATGGTGCTTGCGAAGGTATTTTGCTGACATAATTAAAGCCTCTAATCAATTTAAGTAAGGAAGACTATCCTAGATAATCCCAATAGGCATAAATGAATCCTTTGGAAAAATTTAAAAACAGGGATGAGGTTTCCCCAGGAGAGAAAAGAAATTCTGCCTGTGGACCACTTTGGCTGTGGCTACAAAAGATTCCATCCTGCTTATGATCATCTCTTCCTGACAGCCTTCCACGGGGATTTCAGTCTTGCCTGCCCAACCCCACAATTTTTTAAGACTTTATTCTCTGTAATAAATATCTTAATATACGTAGGCATGTATGCTTCGGTGTGTGTTTATATATGACTGTGTGTGTGTGTGTGTGTGTGTGTGTGTATGTATCTCTGTGTGTGTGTGTGTGTATGTATATATATATATACACCCTACTAGTTCTGCTTCTCACTGAATTCCAACTAATATGCACCACAGTATGGAATATAAATTTATAAGTACTACTTCTTAGATTTAATTGGGGAAAATATTTTATATTTACAGATATATTAGTGGGCTTCCCCAACCCTCCATTTAAAATTGCAGTGGGTCAAGAGTGTAATATAGCACTAAATCATCTTCTGACAAGAACTACTATTTTCTGTAACGGCCAAAATGGGAAGAAATTATTCATTTATTTCTTTAGATCACAAAGAACAAGCCTGAGAATCCTTCATAATATAATCTGAACATTTTAATATTGGAGGTCCTTATATAAGAAGCACTATAAAATGAAAAGAATACTAAGGATTTTCTTGAGTTCAATTATTGTAACAGTCTGCTTTTATTTTTGCACTTAGTAGATTGCTGAACATCCTTAAGACATTAATTCTACATGCTGAATCTACAGTGTGGCACTACAGTTACATTAGCTGAGGAACTATTTAAAGAGTATTTCAGCATAAGAACAACTAAATAAAAAAGAGTATTTCATCATAAGAACAACTAAATAAAAGATGGGCTAGAAACAAAGATGAAAACAATCACAACTAGCAATATCAGAGCTTTACCAGAACAAACACAGACTGATTTTTATCAGAAATCAGGGTACCTAAAGACGTATAGTTCAAAAGGTATATGACATAAAATCAGCTGTTGTTTAATTCTGATCAAGCTAAATTCCAACCAAGCCCCAGCAGTAGCAAGAGCAGCAGCAGCAATTCACTCTAGCGTAAGACTATAGCCTTATATAATACTCATTTTCCCAGGAAGTCCACAACAAAACTCCCTGATGGTACAGGGACAGAAACCTGGTGCGGAGGGTACAATTTTCGAGAGATTGGCTTTCTGAGAAACAGTATGGCCAAGGGGCAGAAGGAGCATACACATATGAACACACAGACACCAAAAACCCCAATGGAACAGGACCATGATAAGACAAAAAGAAAGATGAAGAAAGTCAAATGATAAATTACAGGGAGTCAGACACACACAGAGAAAATAATGGAATGACAACATAAGATGCAAATGGTTAGTAAGAAACACAGAAGCCACACACATGCAAAGCAGTACTAAATCTGGGAACAAGAGGCATAATATAATTCCAACTGTCTTTGACACAGAATGCACTGATTATGTCCTAAAATAAGAAGAGCTCAGTTTATAAAAATGGCATTCAAGGGCATAAGTGAAACTAAAATCTACCTTAGTTTGTAAGCAAGCCATAATACTAAATATAGCCACTTCTGCTTAAGACATTGGGTCTAGAAGGGGTAAAAGAATAAATCACCTAAGGGTAAGGAGCCTTCAAATAACAGTTGCCAAGAAGTCCAAAAAGAACATAACTAACCTTGGCAGAACAGAAAGAAAATTGAGTTGGAATTTACAAACCCCATTCTATTAGCTCTGGCTCAACCACTGTGTCACTTCAGGGATAACTTCTCTGGGTCTCGGTTTCCTCTTCCATAAAATGCTATGCTAGATCACTTTCACAAATTCTATGATTCTACTGTTTCTTCAACATCTTAAACTGTGTTACCAAGTCACAAATTCAAAGCTGGTAGCAAAAGCTGAGTTATGAAAGCTGTTTCCTTTTTTTTTCCAGTAGCCAAGAAACTGTGTTAAATCCTAAAACAAAATTATAATGCTATAGGGCCAGAGGACAGAACTGGAAAGTGCTTTTTCCAACTTTTGAAAGAGTTACATTCTGTGGAAAGAGTAGATCATTTACAACTCTTTCTAAAAATGTGAGAAATATAGTGGTAATAAAAATTGCTATTTGGTGCGCTTTGGATATCAAATACAGACTTAGTCCTATTTCTTAATCTCCTTCTGTTCACATCCATCTCCCAAAATCAATATTGGTACCCAAAATGAATAAAAAGCGTTTTCAAGCAAGCTGCCTGGAATAGCAAACAGTAATTACAAATGTAGACTTCTAATACAAGAAATCAAACCATAAAATAAAACTTATTCAAGGAATTTCTTTAGTGAAATATATTTAGTGGAATGTGGAATATATTCGTGGAAATATATTTAGTGGAAAGTCACTAATCAATCAGAAGCACTATATTTTTAGTATCTATGCAGTACTGTTGCAGATTTTAGGCCTTTCCAAAAGCCAAGAGAGGCATGTATTCACACAAGTATGTAAGGGGTGAGGGCATATATATACATGCATGCATGTGTGTGTTGTAGGGGAGAGTGCAGTTCAGAGATGAAGATATAAAAAGTGCACATAATCAAATCTTGAGGCGATAGCAATTTTAAAATTCTGACTTAAAGAATTTTATCCATATATCTCATCTAGAACTGAAGAAAATGAGTACAGTTAATACCAAAATAAGATCCTTTGTATTTTGGTGAGCAGGCAATCAGCCCATGTAATTTACACTTTCAGTACAGTGAAGGGCTGTGAAGGTTAGACTTTATAGTTGTGGTTTCTTTTGTTTGTTTCTGAGATGGAGTCTTACTCTTGTCACCCAGGCTGGAGTACAGTGGTGTGAGCTCGGCTCACTGCAACCTCCGCCTCCCGGATTCAAGCAATTCTCCTGTTTCAGCCCCCTGAGTAGCTGGGATTACAGGCGCCTGCCACCATGCCCGGCTAATTTTTGTATTTTTAGTAGAGACGAGGGTTCTCCATGTTGGTCAGACTGGTCTCAAACTCCTGACCTGAGGTGATCCACCCGCCTCAGCCTCCCAAAGTGCTGGGATTGCAGATGTGAGCCACTGCGCCCAGCCTAGTTTTGGTTTCTTGAAAATTAAAAGTGTATGACTGTAGAATGGGGAAAAAAAAAAAAACTTCAGAGGACCATATCAAGTCAACCCAAAACTTCAAAACTTAGTAAAAAATTTATGGAAGTACTCTAATACTTCTCAGCCTTCAAGAGCATGAAAAAAAAATATTCTTAAGGATCAGTCCCCAAAAGGCCATGTAGATTAGTGACACCGCTCTGTCACTGTCAGTCTTTCTGGCTGTTCAGAATACAGGTAATTAACAAAGTTCTACCAGCAGAGCTATTTCTGCACACTTTTAAATTTACATTAAATATATGGTGTCAAAGAAGAGGTGAAGAGGCACGTGCTTGACCTTTAGCATAAAATAATAAGAAAAAACACCAAAAAACTTCTAAGAAAGATACTTGTCTGCCTAGATTTGTTCAAACACAGAATATTTTGAAGAATTCCAAGTAAGAGACAACTTCATAAAAAACACATCCAAGGCTCCTAAATTGTCCTCAAAGTGTCTCTCCTCCTAATTTTGATCTAATGCACTGATGTAACAGCTTGCTTTTCAACAATAAAAATTGTGGAAAGCCTAAAAATCCCAAAGGAGCATTAGCTCAACAATGAAGGTCTCAACCAGGGATAAAAGATTAACTCCTTATGCTTGAGGATCATTTTTTCATTATATGAAGAAATTAAAAAGTAAACATTTGTTCTCTTGATTTGCCAGTAAAAACACTAATTTTAAATTAATGAATACTTTCTCTTTTGCCTATCAATGATGTTGCAGTCCATAGCTTCCCAATTTACTCCCATTCTATGTTCCTTTTAGATACTGCAACAAAGAATGTACACTGACCTAGAAAAAAGGCAGCTAACAGCTAGGACTCAAGAACCTAAATTCAGAGTCAAATACATTGAAAAAGTATATCCCCAAAAGCATATACTTTTAAAACCATACTTTAACCTCATGAGTCCCAATCAGCTCCCCTTTCTTACCTTTCCAACTCAGCTATCTTCTTATCTTTGTCATTCTTCTCATTTTCCACCTCCTTCAAGATTTCTAAGAGTCGATCAACTTCTGCCTGGGCCTTGCTGGATTCATCTTTGTACCTGGTGATCTCTCTCTCCAAGTGCTGTATTCGGTCACTCATCTCTGGACTGGCCCTGGCTTCCAATGCTGCCTCATGTGCCTAACAAAGAAAAGCATTTCAATCCTATCAGACACACACAGGTGGCAATGGGCAAACCGTGTCCCAAATAACTATTTATATTCCAATTTAAGAATTGTATTATCAAATATCTAACAGCTGAATATTATTAGATTAAAAATCATCATAAGCCAAAAGATGCTTCAGAATTTAGTGAGACAAACTAACAAGTCATGGGACTGTTACTGATCTCTCCAAGATAATATCAAAAGGCAACACCAGGGACTCACTGCTGATCTTATGGCTGGACCAGTGCAGAGACCTAATTCCCACGAGACTAACTTCCATTTCCATCTCCTTTATGCTGCTTTACCTAACTTGTGTGAATCACATGGCCTTGGACATCTAGAACCATACAGATACTGTAAGTGTGATGCCATAAAAATGTGAGTTAGGTTAAGAAAATAGCTGCTACCACCACCACACAGGTACCTCCCTCAGGCAAGGATTAGAGAATTTACAAAATAATATGGAAGAAACAAATGAATTCAGAAATCAAGAATCACACTTAAGGTTGGGCTCACTGGCTTGAGCCTGTAATCCCAGCACTAAGAGAGGCCCAAGCAGGCGGATTGCTTGAGGCCACAAGTTGAAGACCAGCCTGGGTAACACAGCAAGGCCCCATCACTATTAGAAAAAACATATCTTTAAAATAAATTTTTTAAAGAACCATACTAAGAGCTAAGAAAAAAAAATTTTCTTCAGGATCCTATTATAAAAGTCAACTAATATTGTTAATGCATTTTGGAATACAAAACAGTTTCAATAATTACAAACTAATTTTCAAGACCTTACTTTTCTTCTGGAAGGCAGAATGTATTTAATGAGAAGACAAAAGCTGTTTTTTCTTATTCAATAGACCACAGAATATATTTAGTCCCTTAAAATGGTTTGAAAAAATATTAAAGGAGAAAATATATATTCTTAGGAAATATTTCAGAAAGCTCTGAAGCAAACTACCTTGAGTAAATGAGAAATGTTTGGGTAAATTGTGCTAAACGCTTGGTGAAAGTAACAGCTATACTTTTAAGGTAAGTCCTTTCTCAAGTTCATTTGTTTAAGCCTTCACACATGTAGAAAAAAAAAATCTTTTATCTGTCTTAAATATAGACTTCCCTAACCCTTAACCTTGATAAACATATGAAGTATATTTTAAGAAACAAAAATCCTATGTAAGTTTGGAAGGTAAGAAGAGATCAGTGTTCTGCACTGAATGCTGTCCAATGTCTAAAATCACTTGTTTCACATGGTTTGCCAGCTTTTGAGTTATTAATTGTAGAAGAGAAACTCCTGTAGCAGTCAATCTTTCATGGGCAGAAAGCGGCTATAAATACAGTACATCTAATAGAAAAGGAGAGAGGGAAGAAAACATAAGGAGTACCAAGATCAGGAGATATTTCAATAGAAAGCTGATCATATTACACATAAAGGGAGGGAAGAAAAAAAGGGAACAGAATGAAGATGCAAACAAACGCAGAAGTAATGCAAACAAAAGCGGAAGTAACTGAGAAAATTCTCAGTATCTACAAAGAAAGAAGGTGATGAAAAAGGCAATAGGAGGAGACTTGATGTAGGGGCACAAAAGATGACTGTGTAAACAAACGTGACGGCCAGCTGCCATTTAGTGTCACTGAGATAATGCTGATTTCTAATAATTTATTATAAATATATTATTTATAACTCCACAAATATAACTACTACATATCAGCATTCTGGGTCTTCATACATGCTGGTGAGTCCTTTCTTTGAGGTCTCAGCTTAGAAAGGGTTACTTCTGTTAGGAGGTACTCCATGACCTTGACCTAGGTTAAGTTTTCTTTGATATAAGCTTACTTCACACCATGTGATTTACTACAATTACCTTCTTAAGTGTCTATCTTCCTGATAGAGGCTATAAATTATATGAGTCAAGGGACAGGTCTGTCTTGTCCACCATTATATCCTCAGTGCCCAGTGTGGTAACTGACAGAGTAAAAACTCAATTATTTGTAGAAAAAATGAATATGCAAAAAGCAGTGGGCTAGTTTCCATTTGATGTAAAACAGCCCATGGGCCTAAACGGTAGGAAAAGAAAAAATGGGAAGAAGAGATATTAATCAGTAATTAAATAAAATCTAAGACTAAATGTAGCCCAGAAGATGATTAAGAATATGGAATGAGGCCAGGTGCAGTGGTTCATGCCTCTAATCCCAGCACTTTGGGAGGCTAAGGTGGAGAACTGCTTGAGCCCAGAAGCTCAAGATCTGCCAGGGCAACATAGTGGGACCTTGCCTCTACGAAAAAACGATAAAATAATAACAATAAAGATAATAAAAGAATATTAAATGACAATCTTTAAAGACAAAATAAATCAAACTAGAAAAGAAAATCAAATATACTATAAACCTTCCCTTCCCTTATGACAACAAATTCTGTATCAGAGTAGTTTACATCTAAACTCTTGCTGAGTTAATTTGTACTTTTAAATAAAATTCTAAGAATTTTAAACCACCTTAAAGATCCTTACAACTTTATAAATTACAATACAAACTCCAAAAAAGGCACATTTTTCAAATCAGTGTTATAAACATCCCTTTAAAATGTATTTCTAGGCCAGGTGCAGTGGCTCACGCCTGTAATCCCACCATTTTGGGAGGCCAAGGTGGGTGGATCACCTGAGGCCAGGAGTTCAAGACCAGCCTGGCCAATATGACAAAACCCTGTCTCCACTAAAAAGTACAAAAATTAGCCCGGCATGGTAGCGCACACTTGTAATCCCAACTACTTGGGAGGGTGGGGCATGAGAATTGCTTAAACCCAGGAGGTGGAGGCTTCAGTGAGTTGAGATCATGCCACTGCATTCCAGCCTGAGTAACAGAGTGAGACTCTGTCACAAAAAAGTAAAAAAAAATAAAATGGATTTCTAAATTGTGGAATATGACATTTAATTCAAGATGCAAGCATTTCTTCTGTGCATAGAGTTACTTATCACAGTATCAGTATGAAAGGTATTTTCTGGATGAAGTTATTTCATTTCATGGCTTCATTCTTTCTCTTCTCCCCTTTCTTATCCATTAAGTTCTAACTGTACGTTAACCTATGTTTTAAAAATGCAGATAATCTATACACCTTGCTTTTAGAATGTGAGGTCAAAAACATTCAGAAGCAAAAGCTACAAACGTTAGTGAAATAACAATATTAAATATTTGTGTAAAATATCACCTTTGGACGAAAGAAGCTGACGTTAACAGTGAATAATCCTTAAAATACTGAGTTAAAGTTAAGCCTTCCATCCACAGGCCTTGTTCTGAAAAATACCTACCTTTTACATTATTAAAACCGCAATACTCATACACTGGAGGCAAAGATTTTGTTATTTTGTATTTCATACATGTCACAGTAAAACATGTAAGATTACAAAACCATGCAGATAATCGTATTCCCATAGAAATCAACCTTTTTACCACGTAACCTATTTAATGAGAAAGTAAAGACTAAGACAAGTTTTTTTTCCTTATTCAATAAACAACAAAACATATTTAGTCCCTTAAAATGGTTTCAAAAATATTAAAGGGGTAAATATATATGCTTAGGCAATCTCTGATTCAAAGTACCTAAAGTAAAAGAGAAACATTTATGTACATTTTGTTAAATTCTTTGTGGAAGCAACAGAGGTACTTTCAAGATGAAGTTATCTACCAATTTCTTGTTTCAGGTGTCATCAGTTGTCAAAATGCAGTTATTAAGCATGGCCTTTATAAAAGACTCTACTGGCAGATACACATTTTAATGTGTTAGCAAAACTGTACCCTAAACCGGTGTGGCTAAAAGCCACAACACGGTGGAAATAAAAGGAAAGAGAAGCAGTCCTGAATGAATTAACTCACTAAGAACAAAACAAAGCAAAGGCAGCAGAAATGCAAACACTTCCCAAAGTATGAGGAAAATTTTTGGTCTAAGAGAAACGTTTCTATTTTGTATTAACGTCAATATACTTCAGAGAGGAATAATTTTTAAAAAATCATTAAAAAAATCAATAGAGTTCCTACTTCAGGAAAGAAGAGATGAGAAGGATTCATTTATCTATTGGGTGATAAAAATGTCATTAAAAAAAATCTTTAAAAAAATCAATAGAGTTCCTATTTCAGGAAGGGAGAGATGAGAAGGTTAAACATATTCCTTTATCTATTGGGGGATAAAAATGTCATTCCCACAAAAGCCAGAAAAAACTACAACTGGGACTTTATGTACCATTTGGCTAGCTCACTGACTGGCTTGAATGAGTAGCCCCACACTACTATAGGATGCTAAAGACAGAAGCATTGGGTAGAAAAGAAGAAAGAAAAGTAGAGAAAATGGTTTAAGAGTAGGATAATCATGGGAAAGAAAATTAACAGTTAAAAAAATATGGTGAAAAAAAGGCTCAACAAAAAAAAATCAGAGTCTAGAAATAAATATTTCACCGTAGAAAGAAAAAAAAAGAATTAAGCATTTTAAAAATTCTGTTAACTCAAGGCTGAGCCTAGTGGCCTTGCTGCCAGTACTCTGGAAGGCCAAGACAGAAGGATCTTTTGAGGCAGGGGTTTGAGACCAGCCCAGACAATATGGCAAGACCCCTCTGTTAAAAAAAAAAAAAATTTTTTTGTAACTTAGCCAAGTGTTGTGGCATGGGTCTGTAGTCCCAACTCTTCGGGAGGCTGAGGCAGGAAGATCACTTAAACCCATAAGTCTGAAGTTACAGCAAACTATGCTTACACCACTGCACTCCAGACTGAACGACAGAGCAAGACCCATCCCTAAAAAAGAAAAAAGACAATAAGAATTTGATAACTCAAAAGTTAAGTTTCAATCCTTTCCTTAATAAATTCTGAGGATATTATCTCATGTTGAAGACACGGAATGCCAACATTCAGATACAGAATATAAATTCTTAAGCTATAAAATAGGTCAAAAATGACTTCAATTATCATTACCTCAAGACCAGTCATTTCCTACTCCAAACAAAACAGAGAATAAATCTTACTTTAAAAATTTCAATGATAAGCACAGGGTTTTGAATAAATATAAATTAGAACACTAATAATACACAAGTAATAGTTTCCAAGAAGAAAATATGCCAAATAGTCCTTTACATAAATCCACAAAGAAACTATAAAGCAAAAAAATAGACCCTAATGTAGACGATGAAGATAACAAAATTCTAGGCCTAATAAATTGCTATGAAAAATTAAAAGTACAACAAATAAAAAAAAAAAACTTTCTGACAATATGCACCCTGTCTTTAAAAAAAATGCTAGGAAATTAACATTCTCCAAAATGAGATAAAATCTGAAACGGGATATTTAATAACTGTTCTGAGTCTCAGATCTTACTCCATAGGTTAAATTAGCAAACACATGCTCACTTATTCTTTTTTTCTGTTTTTAAGAGATGGGGTCTCACTCTGTGGCACAGGCTGGTGTCCAACTCCTGGCATGAAGTAATCCTCCCACCTCAACCTCCCAAGAAGCTGGAATTACAGTAATTGTATAAAATATCACCTTTGGACAAAAGAAGCTGACGTAACAAGTGAATAATCATCCTTAAAATACCAAGTTAAAGTTAAGCCTTCCATCCACAGGCCTTATTCTACTGAAATATACCTGCATTATATAAACACCAACAACAAACAGACACAATGCAATGATTAAGCAAACTAATTATATTCTGGCAAGCTTAACCTCTTTCTCTGAAAGGTCGCCTTGCAATAGGCTGACTTTTTTCTTCAAGTCTTTAAGATCTTCTTTGTAGTTATGAAGATCTTTTTGTAGTTCTGCATCTGGCAGAAGCCTGATTCTAATGGAAGAAAAATATCAGGTAATTGAGATTTTCACACTGTGGTCTCATATTTTACCCACAAGGGAGCTGCATATTATTGTCTTTCTCTGAACTGTCAATTTAATTTTCTATGATTTGGGGGATTATCTTGAATAAAATAAAGTAGAATAAGAATGCTAAGAGAATTAATTCAGGCATATATGGTATTTTAAAGTTTGGGGATTATTACTCCATTGGTAAATTATTCCCTATAAACACCCTAAGGTTATCTACTATGCTCTTAAAGCAAAGCAAAAAAAAATGTAAAAAATTTTCTTTAACCTTTTTCAATTGTGATTCCATTTTTAGACATTCCTCCTTCTTCTGCTCCAAAGCAATCTCTAGTGTCTTAAGCCGTGAGTCCTTTTTCAGTCCTGAGGATGCCAGAGAAGAAGCATGCTCTTTCAGATCCAAAAGTGAAGCCTAAAAGAGGCAACACACATCTAGAATAACTAACTATAAAGAAAATAGAGATTTTGAATTTTATATTTATTATCATGGTGGCTGTCATTTCCTTTCCATTACCAAATACTGACATATTTCCATTTCAAGATAATTCAGGAAATACGAAACAATATTAGCTCTAGCTTTCAACTCTTAACAAATAAGATGGATTCTCAAGAAATACCAATTGAATGGTGATTTAAAGAGTTCTGTTAATACATACCCATTCTCACAAAATAAACGAAAGTAGATCAAGCTTTGTAAATTTAAGTAGTCAAACCTCAGCAGCTACATTAACTTAAACATAAAACATTTTTCAGCCAGAGGCCATGTTTCCATTGCCTGTAATCCCAGCATTTCAGGAGGCCAAGGCAGGGGGATCACTTGAGGACAGGAGTTCAAGACCAGCCTGGGAAACATAGCAAGACCCCGTCTTCACAAAAAAAAAAAAAAAAAAAAATTAACTTAGGCTGGCATGGTAATGCACACATATAGTCCTAGGTACTTGGAAGACTGAATAGGAGGATCCCTTGAGCCCAGGAGTTCAAGGCTGCAGTAAGCTATGATTATGCTACTGCACTCCAGCCTAGGCAACAGAGTGAGACACTGTCTCTTAAAAAAAAAAAAAAAAAAAAAAAAAAATCACATTTTTCCCTATTAGAAGAAAAATTCTATTAGGAATTTAAACCTGCATAACATTTCCTAGAGATATTAGAAAGAAAATCCAGAGAAAGATGCTAAAGCTCATGCATTATGATCATCTGATTACATAGCATGAGGCATCTTTGCTATTTACGTCACATTAACAGGATTCTCCAAAACAAGATGAAAGTATATTAAGTCACCTAATTTAACAGCTGTTGTTTTCTTCGATAGCTGCTATACATAAAATTTCTTCCTTTTGCATATTGCTTTTATCTGTCAACTTTCTTATCTTTAGCACACTATTTCTCCAAATGAGCTTCGGTTATTTTAGGGTCTATAAAAATACTATTAACAAGCAAAAAAACAACTCAAAACATAGTAACTCTTAGAAAATGAATGAACCAATTTTTCTGAAATATTCCTTAAGGTTTTCACAAAAAGCCTGCTAAAAGAATTTTTTTTTTTTTTTTTTTTTTTTTTGAGACGAGTCTTGCTCTGTCACCTAGCCTGGGGTGCAGTGGCGTGATCTCAGCTCACTGCAATCTTCACCTCGCGGGTTCAAGTGATTCTCCTGTCTCAGCTTCCCAAGTAGCTGGGACTACTGGCGCCCGCCAACATGCCCAGCTAAATTTTGTATTTTTAGTAGAGACGGGGTTTTACTGTGTTAGCCAGGATGGTCTTGATTTCCTGACCTTGTGATCTGCCTGCCTCGGTCTCCCATAGTGCTAGGATTACAGTCATGGAAACATGGCACCAGGCCTGGCTTGCCTACTAAAAGAATATTAAGAAAATTTTCCATCAAATACTTTTTTACACGCATTATATAAACACCAACAACAAACAGACACAATGCAATGATTAAGCAAACTAATTATATTTTGGTGAGCTTAACCTCTTTCTCTGAAAGGTCGCCTTGCAATAGGCTGACTTTTTCCTTCAAGTCTTTAAGATCTTTTTTGTAGTTATCAATTTCCTCTTGCTTCTCCCGCTCATCTCTGTCCCTCTGCTCCTTTAAGCGTTCGATTGTCCGCTCCTGATGAGAGAATATATCAATATGTGAGGAAATTCCTTTTTGTACTTATATGATTTTAATTTTGCTTTTAGCTGATAAAATTTCAAACTTCTATATTCAAAAGACAATGGTATGTTTCTAAAGAATCCACTTTTTAAAGAATCCTTCTTATTCATCTTCCCATAACAAGGATGTAGCTTTATTCAACTGAATCCCAAGGTTTTTTTTTTTCTTCTGATCTCAACTAGTATTTGATATTGCTAAAGTATTCTTTAGGAATATTTCCATTTATTTAATTTTCAAGTAACTAAAAGCTTATATATATATATATATGCCCTAAGGACAATAACTAACATAATAATTAACTATTTCTTCTCTATATATTATTCTCATGTTGCCTACAGGCAATGGAAACAACTCACAACTCACACACCAAAAAAGGGAGCAATGGGAAAGATTTTGATATTTTGAGCTTAAAATATAAAGAAGGGTAAAGAAAAAAGAAATCATTAAAACTTTCTGTCAGCAGATACTCATGAAGTTTGAAAATTAGAGCAATTTGGCCAGGCACAGTGGCTCACACCTGTAATCCCAACACTTTGGGAAGCCAAGGCGGGTTGATCACTTGAGGTTAGGAGTTCAAGACCAATCTGGCCAACATGGCGAAACCCAGTCTCTACAAAATATTAGTTGGTTGTGGTGGCTCATGCTTGTAATCCCAGCTACTCGGGAGGCTAAGGCAGGAGAATCACTTGAACCCAGGAGGTGGAATTTACAGTGCGACAAGATCACACCAATGCACGCCAACCTGGACAACAAAGTGAGACTCTGTCTCAAAAAAAAAAAAAAGAGCAATGTAAGTGTATTTTTGGGTACCATTTCTAAATATATTCAGGAATAAAGCCTCAATTCCGGCAGGCAGCCTGAAGCATTCTGAATCCAAAAGACTTAAAGAACAGTGACCCCCTCATCCTGTTAAAAAAAAAAAAAATCCAATTACAATGACCCAAGAAGATGCCCTAAACCTCCTTCCAAGACATTAACACTGGTCAGAGGTTTGGGCTACTTCCTTAGTCAACCATTCCTAAAAAACTAAATTTGTTGGCCAGGCGCGGTGGCTTACGCCTGTAATCCCAGCGCTTTGGGAGGCTGAGGCAGGCAAATCACAAGGTCAGGCGTTCCAGACCAGCCTGCCAATTTTAACAGAAACTAAAGCTTTTTAGTCTCTACTAAGAAATATAAAAATCAGCCAGGCGTGGTGGCAGGTGCCTGAAGTCCCAGCTACTCAGGAGGCTGAGGCAGGAGAATCGCTTGAACCCGGGAGGCAGAGGATGCAGTGAGCCGAGATAACACCACTACTGCACTCCAACCCGGGCAATAAAGTGAAACTCTGTCTTGAAAATAAATAAATAAATAAACAAAGAAACTAAGTTTGTTTATAAAGGCAAAAGAATGTAGAAAGGCCAAGACTAGAAAATTAGAAAGCACATTATATTAATAACTAAAATCCAGTAATATACTAGGTACCAAAATGGGGTATTAAAAGAGGACTAATTATGTATCGTCTCCTGATGATCATGTCTGCTATTCCCACATCCTCAAATTCTAGTTGACCATATAAATTTAATTTTTTTTTCTTTTTCTTCAGAAGATAGGAAATGGAGAAAATCTGGCTGATTCTTTAGAAAATGTGGCCACTGCTCTGTAGTGTAGAGTCCATCTTGCCTGGCAACAGATGCTTAAACTGGCCACAGCTCAATGGAGTTTCTTTTCCCTTCACACTACATATGTCAGCAACAGCACAAAGTAGTTCTTTTCCCTTTTGCCCACAGGGATGTCTTCTGTATTCTATATCCAGTTTTAGATTAATGAGAAAGCAGAAAACGTGTGTGGAGAATCGGGCCAGTCACTTACTTTCTCTGCAAGGGCCTCCTCCAAAGTTGTCAAGGCAGTGTCAGTATTGGTGGTGTCAGCCTGCAAGGATTTGACCCGTTCTTTCAAGCTGCTCATCTGCTTTTCCTTATCTCTAAGCTGCTCTTGAAGATTTTCAATCTAAATGTACATAAATATTTAAGGGAAAAAAGAGAACATTTTTAAAAAACAATAGCACAATCAAAATTATTTTAATTTGAAAACAGCTCAGGGCTGTCTATGTGCCTTCTATAGAAATTATTTAATCCTAAATTTCAGAATTACATGCAAAACCTTAAACCCAGGAATTTGTAGGCAAAACAAACAAAAAAAGGTACACAAGTATATGGACACATATACACAAATCTCTAATAAAATAAGAAAAGTAGCTAGTAGAAAAGATCCAATGCAGAGATGGCCATGTAGAGAGGAAAGCCATGAGGACTAGGATTACTTCTAAAATGACATTGTAAATGCAAGGGGAATTCCTTCACAAAGAATAAAGGGAAGACAGAGAACAGATAAGCCAAACAGTGAGAAAGATGAGTCTGCTGTGTAAAGAAAAGGCTGTTCTTAAATGCTAGTGTTATGTTAGATTTATATCATCTTTTATCTAAGCAGCAAACATTTTTGTAGTCATTCGTTCATACACACTTACATGTATCAATTTACTCAAAAAAATGTGTTGAATTCTGTATTACATGCCAGACACTACTGATATGAAGAAAAATGAATATGCTCATTTTTATTATGAGATGGTAAGAAAATGCATCGTTATACAGCTAAAGCCAAGCTATAGAAGACCTTGTGTGCCAACCTAAGGAGCACAGATTTTATTCAGAGAAATGAAAACCATTAGAGATTTTTAAGCACAGAAATGGTCTGACCAGTTCTGTACTTTACATAAATAACAGTGTCAGTGTTGACAGTGTCAGCATGCAAGGATTTGACCCATTCTTTCAATGAAAATTTAAGAGGACTTGCATATAGACATGGAAAACCATTAGGGGTTGTATCAATTCAGGTAAGATTATGGGGACTAAACACACTATGAGATAACACTGTGGAAATGGCATGTTATCACTCAAGTACAACAAGCAGCATGTTATCACTCAAGTACAAGGAGACTGAAGTACAATAAAAAATTATTCAAGTAAAAACTGTGAGGAAATTCTAAGGAGATATCCTTAATAAGCTAAAGGAAAATTATAAATAAACCAGCTACTCACAAAGTTCATTCATTCAATATATACATACAAGTTTAACTTCCCGCTATAGATCAGGTACTTTTCCAGTTGTTGAGGAAACAGAGTAATAAAAACAGACCAAATCCCTGCCTTCATTGAGCTTACATTCTAGTAAGGTAGACAAATGAATGAAAGAAGGAAGAAATAAGTGATTGAACAAATGAATGAATCAATATAGCATAAGGCAGAGATAAGTTCTATCAAGAAAAATGAAGCAGGAGAATATAATCACAGTCTCCTCTTGAGCTGATACTGAAACTACCTGATTTTTTTTTACATGGTTTTCAAAATGCAAGACAAACATTATCTCCTCTGGGAATAGTTTGTCGCCCTCATCCCAATGAGAAAAACTTGATCATTGTCTGTATACCATTAATGATACATAATCATGTATATATTTTATATAAATATACACTCCTCTATTCTTCCATATATCTATGTATTGATCACACATCTCCATTCTTCCAACTATCATTATAGCACCGATTAGTGTATGTAACCATATGTAATTCTTTGTTTTATACATGTCTCCACAAGTAGACACAGATCCTACCCCTCCATCTGTTTTGTACCTTCCTAAATGGTACGTCTCAGATCATAAACATTAATCAATAAATGAATAAAATATAAGTTTTGACTTTCATAAACTGCATTTAGGGATTCACAAAAACTCCTACCAAGAAGGGAATTACAAAACAATCCTGGATCAAATTGTCAGGTAGTTTCTTACATTAGTAAATTTAATACAAGCTCTTTAAGGTACCTCTCTAGAGTCAAGAAGAACTTGACAGGCAGAACAAAAAAACTAAGAAAAAGATTTGATAAGTTTAGAATAGGGTACATGAATATGCTGAAGCTTAAATTTTCACTTAACAAAGAGATAATCATACAGCTGAACCATGAATAGCCTGAAATGGGCTCCAATCTATTTAGTGCCAGTAAGAGTCCAAAGCCCATTGTAAGAACTGAGTTCATCACAGATGGAAAGTACTAGTCTCCCCTTGATTTTATTAGATACTGCTACTAAAATCTCATATAAATCAATATTTAGGTAAACTCATAACCATTAAAGAGAATTTTGCCACTCAAAAATTCATATACTCCAAAAATCTGTATACTTCATATACGGGTATACCTCAATTTCTTATGGATTGCTTTATTGCTCTTCACAGATACTGGTTTTTTACTAACTGAAGGTTTGTGGAAACCCTGAATCAAGCAAGTCTATCAGCACTACTTTTCAAGAGTAGGCTACCTTGGTGTCTCTGGCACATTTTCGTAATGCTTGCAATATTTATTTTTCATTATTATTATATCTATAATGGTGATCTATGATCAGCGATCTTTGATGTTACTGTTATAATTTATTTGGGGTGCCATGAACTCTACCCGTATAAGATGGTAAATTTAAGAAATTTTTCAGATGATCCAACATGGCCGAATAGGAACAGCTCTGGAGTGCAGTTCCCAGCAAGAACAATGCAAAGGGTGAGTGATCACAGCATTTCCAAACAAGTTTTCACTGCCCACAGACTACAAGATTCCCTGGCTGAAAAGTGCCATGAGTTTCCAGCACAGCTGCTTCAGCCAGAGCCATGGGTTGGCACACAGAAACTCACATAAATATGAGTAGCCATTTCAACTGGCACCTGGAATGCCTGGGAGACAGAGCCACCCATTCAACTGAAAGAGAGGGGGCTGACACAGGGAGCCAGGTGATCTGGCTCGGCGGGTACCACCCCCACAAAACAAGCAATCTGAAATGCTCTGGATTGAGAGTTTCACAGCAAGCGCAGCTGGACCCAGGACAGTCCAGCTCAGTGGAGGGAAGGGTATCCGCCACTACCAAGGCAGTTGGCCAATACTGAGGCAGTTCTAACTGTACCTCTAAAAACGACACCTCAAGGAAGTTCACACAGGAGCTGGGCAGAACCCGCAGCAGCTCAGCAACACCTCTGCTGGCAGACTGTGACTAGACTATCTCCGTGGAGGGCAGGGCATCTATGAAAAAAAGGCAGCAGCACTCAGGAACTTATAAATAAAGCCCAACCTTCCTAGGACAGAGCACTGGAAAAGAGGCAGTTATGAGTTCCACTGCAGCAGACTTAAACGTACCTGTCCAGCAGCTCTGCAGAGAACAACGCAACTCCCAGCACAGCACTTGAGCTCCTATAAAGGACAGACTATCTCCCTGAGCAGTTCCCCAACCCCCGTATACCCAAAGAGACACTTCATAAAGGAGAGCTCAAGCTGACATCTGTTGGATACCCTTCTGGGACAAAGATAACAGAAGAAGAAACCAGGAGCAACCCTTACTTTTCTACAGCCCCTGCAAGTGATCCCCAGGCAAGCAGGGTCTGGAATGGACCTCCAGCAGTAATGCAGCAGAGGGGCCGGACCATTAGAAGGAAAACTAAGAGACAGAAAGAAATAACTTCACCATCAACAGAAAGGATGTCCACTCAGAGACCCCAACCGAAAGACACCAACTACAAAGACCACAGGTAGATAAAGCCACAAAGATGGGAAGAAACCAGTGCAAAAAGGATGAAAACACCAAAAACTAAAACGCCTCTCCTCCTCCAAGGGACCACAACTCCTCACCATCTAGTGAACAAAGCCGGATGGAGAATGAATCTGAAGAATTGACAGAAGCCAGCTTCAGAAAGTGGGTAATAACAAACTTCTCAGAGCCAAAATAAAATGTGCTAACCCAATGCAAAGAAACTAAGAATCTTGAAAAAAGGTTAAAAGAAATGCTAACTAGAATAAACAGCTTAGAGAAGAATATAAACAGCTTGATGGAGCTGAAAAACACACCATGAGAACTTTGTGAAGCATATACAAGTTTCATAGCCGAATCGACCAAGCGGAAGAAAGGATATCAGAGACTGAATATCAGCTCAATGACATAAAATGAGAAAGCAAGGTTAGAGAAAAAAAGAATAAAAAGAAATGAACAAAGCCTCTAAGAAATATGGGATTATGTGAAAAGACCTAATCTACGTTTGATAGGTGTACCTGAATGTGATAGAGAGAATGAATCCAAGCTGGAAAACGCACTTCAGGATATAATCCAGGAGAACTTCCCCAACCTACCAAGGAAGGCCAACATTCAAGTCCAGGAAATACAGAGAACACCACAAAGATGTTCCTCAAGAAGAGCAACCCCAAGACACATAATCGTCAGATTCACCAGGGTTAAAATGAAGGAAAAAATTCTAAAGGCAGCCAGAGAGAAAGGTCAGGTTACCCAAAAAGGGAAGCCCATCAGACTCACAGTGGATCTCTTGGCAGAAACATTACAAGCCAGAACAGAGTGGGGGCCAATATTCAACATCCTTAAAGAAAAGAACTTTCAACTTAGAATTTGATATCCAGCCAAACTAAGCTTCATAAGCAAAGGAGAAATAAAATTCTTTATGAACAAGCAATTGCAGAGAGATTTTGTCACCACCAGGCCTGTCTTACAAGAGCTCCCAAAAGAAGCACTAAACATAGAAAGGAACAACCAGTACCAGCCACTCCAAAAATGTACCAAATGGTAAAGACCAACAACACATTGAAGAAAACGTCTCAACTAACGGGAAAAACATACAGCTGGCAACAAAATGGCAGGATCCAATTCACACATAATAATATTAACCTTAAATGTAAATGGGCCAAATGCCCGAATCAAAAGATATAGACTGGCAAACTGGATAAAAAGTCAAAACTCATCAGTGTGATGTACTCAGTAAACCTATAACACATGCAAGGACACACATAGGCTCAAAGAAAAGGGATGGAAGAAGATTTATCAAGCAAATGGAAAGCAAAAAAAAAAAACCAGGAGTTACAATCCTAGTCTCTGATAAAACAGACTTTAAACCAACAAAGATAAACAGACAGACT